ATTTTTTTTTAGCTCCCACCAATAAGTGAGAACATGTGGTACTTCTTTTTCTCATCCTGACTCGTTTCACTCAATATTATTCTCTCAAGGTCCATCCATGTTGTTGCAAATGGCAGTATTTCATTCGTTTTTATAGCTGAGTAGTATTCCATTGTTTTCTGATATGCTATTACTGCCTTCAAGGGATTATTTTCTTATTTCTTTAATCCTTAGAGACCTGAGCCTTAATAAATTTCATTAACCAAATGACTTTGTTTGATAGGTGATTTAGCTAAAAAACGTCCAGTAAACCATCTTCAGCAGATAACTTGTAGTTGTTTCTTGAAATGGTTCAATGTAGCTTACTGAATATATTTTTACTTTTTTATTTATAGAGCTCAATGCATGCCTGTTTTTAAGGAAGTAAAGGTACATCTTTTAGAAGATGCAGGCACGGAAAAGGACGCTGTTGCTCAGGAGACCAGAACTTCACCTAGTGCAATTGATTCAGCTACGACTGTGGCTGCAGCAACTGCTGCTGCCATTGCGACAGCAGCTCCACTGATAAAAGTATATTTTTCTCTCCAGATATTTATAACTACTTTGTGAAATATAAAAATGTTTATTAAGAACTGATTCTATAAATGGTTGTGTCCAACTGTAGACTAGGGACCTTCTAGTCGCTCTCAGTTTGAATTTTCCTATTTGTGGTTGTGTACCACTTCTTAGGAATTGTGAAAATTACCAACTCATTGCTATGACAACACTAATGAATCTGGGACTTTTCCAGTTTTAGCACTGAAAGTCCCGCATCCTGGAAAACCATTGGTCCTGGGCAACCTGGGTGATCGGTCATCCTTATTTGAGAGCTAGAAGGAATCTTAGAGATCATCTGTGCCTCACCTGTCAGTTTGTAAATGGAGAAAGAGATAAATAGGTCAGTGTAGGTACAAGATCCTAACACTTAAAGGTGGCAGAGCCAAGACTGAAACTCCAGGCTGCTGACCTAATTCAGCCTCACATTAGGAAACTATCAAAAGCTACTTTGGCCTCTTTGTTTGGCTATTTCCTTCTTTTAAATTTCCATTTAAGTATCTTATGTCTGGCATTATAAAATTTTTTGTGGCAAATTTGGTATAATTTTTTTTTTTTGAGAGAAAGCATTTATGTAAGGATAGCTATCTCCTGCCTTTTATTCCTGTGACTCCCAAAATAAAGGCACTAAATCATCAGAGATCTACTGAGTAAAACCTCTAATTTGATCATTTCTCAGTAACAATTGCTTTATAAACCTTTCTAGTAGATGAACATATTTTTGGTATGTTTCTATAATATGAAATATTATTTTGATATTTTTATTGTTTTAGGTGCAGAGTGATTTGGAAGCAAAATTTAATTCTGTAACAGAATTACTTAATAAGTTACAGGAGACTGATAAACACTTACAACGTGTTACAGAGCAGCAAACAAGCATTCAGAATAAACAGGAAAAATTACATTGTCTTGATCATGAAAAGCAAATGAACGTGTTTATGGAGCAGCACATCAGGCATCTTGAAAAATTACAACAACAACAAATAGATATTCAGGTATCTATAATAAAGCCAGTACACATTCCATTATCTTTTGTCACTTGCATCTCTAAGCTAATATCCATTGATAATTGTAAAAGCTCATAGATTGTAACAGTTTCAGTTCTTGAATCATAATTTGCTTGTTCACCGTGATTCCCCTCATTCCATTATCTTTTGTCACTTGCATCTCTAAGCTAATATCCATTGATAATTGTAAAAGCTTATAGATTGTAACAGTTTCAGTTCTTGAATCATAATTTGCTTGTTCACCGTGATTCCCCCTGTGTGGAGAACTCTGCATGTTCTAGCTCAAATATTGCTAGTTGTGTGAGACATCTCCCCATAGTTGGATTTTCCTCCTTCTTCAGCATTTTTGTTCATACCATTTTTAAAGTGCATATATCACACTGCAAATATTTGTTAACACCAGCGGTTCTTTGCCTTGGAAAGTGCATCAGAATTACTTTGAGAACTTTATAAAAAAACACATGCTTGGGCCTCTCATAGATTGAGACAGCTGGTCTGAGGTGGTGCCTGGGAATCATTGAAAACTCTGTAATGATTCTGATGCACACCCTTGGATGAGAACCACCTGCTGTACATATTAGCTTCTACATATTAGCTTCTGCATTTAATTAAAAGAATGAAAATTTTTTAGTGTCTGAGTATAAGTCACTGGCCTATTGTAAAAAGAAGAGTTATCCTCACAAGAAGCTGATTGCATAGTTTCTTGTTTATCTTGGAATTTCCAAGTCCTGGAAAACTACTCAGCACTCAATCCATTTTTTTTTTCTTGAATGAATGAATGATTTCTAAATGCATTGGTTTTAATTTACTTTTTTTCTAATTAATGTACAGTGTTTTAAATATAACATTCAGAATAATGTACAAAATCAGTATATTATAGCACGATATGTTATCACAAAGTGAACATTAATGTGCTATAATTTTCAAGACATTGTATAGAGCTTATCTTCAGCTTTTCATGTGATTGAAGATAGTTTTTTATTGGGATGATTATAGACATACAAAGTAAAGTTTTAGTAACTACTCCACATGCATAACTAAAATTGAGTATGCAGCATATTATATAGTGAGAGGCCAGAACTTAGTCTATCAGAGTGATAGTCCGCAGTCTATAAACAAATTTACTTCTCTGAGCCTTGTTTTCTTTACCTAGAAAATATTATTTTGTCAGGATGAAATGATATGACACATTGGAAAAGCATATTGATTTCTTAAGGAGTGGATTTTACTCCATCCTAAATGCCTGTTTGCCATCCATCTCTAGAAAATATTATTTTGTCAGGATGAAATGATATGACACATTGGAAAAGCATATTGATTTCCTAAGGAGTGGATTTTACTCCATCCTAAATGCCTGTTTGCCATCCATCCATCCATCCTTCCATAACTAAATCTATAATTTACTGACTTTATGATTTTTGAAGAATGGAATCTTTGCTGACTCAGATGTCACATTTATAAAGCTTATCATTACAGAAAGAGTTGAAGTTTCGGTGATGTACTAGTTATACTAGTTGTTCAATAAATGCTTAACGAAATGAAGTTAGTTGAGTCTGTCCCGTCTGTTTTATGTAGAGGAATCTTGACATGCCTTTAGGAATTCTGTAAAACTATAAATCTTTTTAGGTTTTTCTTGACCTGGCATAAATTTGAAATCAGTTTTATTAGTTGAGATACTCACACATTCCAGATATTTGAATAAACGGTGCAGAAAACTGTGTTGTCGCTATAGTTCCCATTTATATATAAACGCATATATTATTGCTACTACTAAGCATGGCCACTATTTACTTGAGTGCTTACTATCAATGGTTTTCAAACCTTTACTTCAAAGAAAATCTTACCATCAGGATATAAAAGATGAGATGTTTTGGTTTTTAATTCCCTGGTTGAAGCAGAGGCTTAGAACTAGTGCTCCTTCTTCCCGGTCCTTTCCTAGCCTGCTGCAGTGGCCCCTAAGCCATCTCTGAGGTAGGAAGGAAGCCACTGAGGTTAAGCATGGTTAAGGAAAATGGTTAAGGTCACACAGCAGAGTCAGGCTAACCCAGGCCTTTGTGATATTATGTTCGTCCAATGGCATCCATGCTGCTGCTGCAGTGGATAGTTGCAATGTTATGTATATATTTTTATTGTTTATTAAATATAATAAGTTACTTTTAGGTTCTCTGATAAATTTCAAGGTGTTTTGTTATCCGACTCTTTCAAATGATGTTTGAAATTAATAAAATAATTCTATTTCTTCTAGACTCATTTTATTACTACTGCACTCAAGACCAGTAGTTTTCAGCCTCTTAGTATGCCCCCTTCCAGAGCAGTGGAAAAGTATTCTGTAAAACCAGCACATCCTGATCTTGGTAGCAATAATCTACCTTCACATAACATATTTGCTTCCAAACAAGGTAAAAATATGTAGTTCTCTATGAATAAAAAATGTCAGCTATGAGTTTTCTTTCTGCTATATTAACTGAAAACTTATTTACGAAGTGTTAGGAGTCTTTGCTTTATAAAATTTATAGGAGCCTTCTGTTTTCTAAAATTACTGCTATATTAACTGAAAACTTATTTACGAAGTGTTAGGAGTCTTTGCTTTATAAAATTTATTTATAGGAGCCTTCTGTTTTCTAAAATTGGTTCTTTTTTTAAGCCAAGTAATCTTTAGGTTATTTTGAAACTTGTTTAAATAGTAGATAATGTTCTAAATTTAATGGCTTTAATTAATAAGCTTGATAAATTGTTAGAAGCACTTATAAATTTAGAAAAATTTTACTTATCTAGTAACAAAAATGCTTGTAATAAATCCTCCAGTTCTCTGACAAACTTCATATTTACTATTTTTCTTATTCTGTCGAGAGAAACCACCTGAGTGCAATTCTGAACTATGTCTAAGTATTTTGAGTTAGTAATGCAAGTCTGTTTATCTTAATAGAATTTTAAAACTATTTATAATAGCAAAGAAATACCTAGCTTATTTGCTAAGCCTTTGGAACTTAAAATGAATGAATAATTGTGTTTCCAAATGATTGATATCAATGATTTGAATAATGAACTAAAGACAATTAAGGGACTATCCATTAATGATATACAGATCCATGTAGTATGATATTTCCAACATTTGATTTGTTAAAACATTGTTGTATTACAATCAGTAAAGATTCCTTATGCTTGTAAGGTGCTTGTTTTGCAACAAATGAGTTGTGTAACAAAACTGTTGTAACATGAGTCAATTTTTAAGTTGTGAAGAGAGGACAGTGAAGCACAGAAGGGTGTGATGTAGCACAATCAGTAAAGATTCCTTATGCTTGTAAGGTGCTTGTTTTGCAACAAATGAGTTGTGTAATAAAACTGTTGTAACATGAGTCAATTTTTAAGTTGTGAAGAGAGGACAGTGAAGCACAGAAGGGTGTGATGTAGGTGCTCAAGGTTATCTGGCTTGAGAGGGAGAGTGTCAGAGCCAGGGCTGGAACTCAGGTTTCAGTATGACCCAGTCCTGTGCCTTCTACAGAAGTGGACACTTTTTTCATACTTAGTTCTGAAGAACTACTTGCTCATAATTTTGTTTTTTTAGACTTATGTTTTGAAGGAAAAAATGTACGTTTTATTGATTATATACTGAATTTGTTTCTTTTGCATATATTAGTTACAGGAAAAGACATAGAAAAATGAGTAAATTAAAAATTCAACAAACTTTTATAAAGTATTAAAATATATACATTTTATATTTATATTTTTAAAAAATAATAAAAATAACTTTATTCTGTATTTTTTCTTAGGCATATATAATTTTTATATAGTTGTAATTGTAGCATAAGTATAATTTTATACTGCTTTTTTACTACTATCAAAAGTATTTTCTATGTTTTATATAGTTATCTTCTTAATTTTAATTTTTAATGACTAAAGGATAATTTATTTTGCAATTTACTTGACCATTATCTTGTTATTGGACACTTAGGCAGTTTTAGGTTTTTTTTCTTTACAAATAATATTGTAATGAACATCATCATATATTTAATATTTTGTTACTTTTATTTTATTTCCTTAGGATAAATTCCCAAGAGTAAGATTACTAGGTCAAAGTATATAAAAATTTTACAACTTTCTATACTTATTGCTAGATGGTTTATCAGTTTTCACTGCCATGAGAAGTGTTTGGTATGCCATTTCACCACAGCTTCAGTAGTACTGAGTATTATATTGATTCTTATATACTAGCCGTAAGTGTAAAATGTTTATAGTCTTCTTTTCATTTGATTTCTAGTAAGGATGAAGTTATTTCTATATACTTATTAATAATTTGTGTTTCCCATATAGCTTTGGTTTTGTTTTTAAAGTATGGGGAAGATTAACACCCTACAATTAAAAAACAATTTAAAGTAAATTTAATGTATTATTTTCTTTATTTTCTATTAAAGCACCTTTAAGAGAGGTTGAAGGTATGGGTTTTGATAAACAGAAATCGCCTTTGGAGACACCAGCACCTCGCAGATTTGCTCCTGTACCTGTTTCAAGGGATGATGAAATATCAAAGAGGGAAAATCCTATGGAAGAAAAAGAAAATATAGAAATATCAGGCCATAGAGGTAAGAAAGCAATTATAATTAGAACCCACCTTTCACTAGACCTATCTCAAATTAGGAAATTGTCATGAGATTTTCTCACTTATGATTTTTAATTCTCTGTGTGCTTAGAAGTAACTAAAGTGGGATCTCTATTTTTAATATTTTTCTTTAAATGGTACTGGGCAAATCAAGCTTCTTTAGATTCTTCATAGGAGTTGGAGGTCTACATTTGTAATTGTTGTGTTTCCTATAGGTTATTACTTAAACTTCTAATGAATAAGTTTTGTATTAAAAAATAATGCTTTGCTGAAGGTAAGTCTGATATTTTTAGAGCATGTTTTCTTATATTGTTTTTAGGTATAAATTTCAGTAATAAAACTCAGAGAAATTTAACATTTATCATCATGTTCAGTTGCAAAAAGTGCTAATATATGAACTTTTTAATAGAAGACAAGAACTTTTATAAATGACCTGAACTAATAGTATGTTACAGAGCCTTAAAATGTAGCCTTTCGAGTAAAAGTAAGTGAAAATATTAAACTATAGGCTTTCATTCTTGGAGTGATTTAAATGCATTCAAATCTTAGGCACATTTAAATAGTTTTAAGCAATTTAGAAGATAATGAAATCTTCAATAAAGAAACAAACCTCACCAAAAAGAAAATTATGTAGTTTCACTAAAAACAAGGCTAAAGGGAAGATCCAATTATTTGTTGCTGTGAAGAAACAGATAAATCTCCTTTGTACTAATTTATAAAAATAGTCCAATTTTCTGGACTTCGTGATAATGACACTTATTCAAGTTCCTTTTATCTGTGATGGAAATAAATTCATGCTTTTACCTATATAATTCAAACTTCTTCTATTTTTATTGTGTATATATATGTATATTTGTTGTTGTTTCTGTCTTCTTTTTGCTTTTCACTCTGGCCAATATAGGGATTGAACCCTGGATCTTGGTGTTATTAGTACCATTTTCTAACCAATTGAGCTAACCAGCCAGCCCCCCCGCCTTTTTTTTGAGGTATAAATATTTAGTTTTATTTGGTGAGTGTATGGAGTCTTTGAAGAGTTCATGGAAAGATTCATATTATCTTTTAATTCCATTGTGGAATGAATTGAGTAGATAATCATCATAAGAAGCTAATTTAGGCCAAGAGTACAAAGATATGTGAGATATTATATGAAAGAGAAATGAATTAGTATTTGGAAAATGATACTATATTTCTTCTATTGTAGGAAATGTAAGGCTATTGGCACAAATTTTAAATAACAATGATTCTGTGACAAGAAAAAGTGAATCATCAGACCAAACCTCACTAACTAAATCAAAAATAGGATGGAATCCTGAGAAAGGAGACAGGTAAAAATAAGAGATTGGAATGAAAGCTAGACTGAAAAGAGCTTTGTTCAGATTTCTAAAATCTCTTTAGGAATTTTAATTATAGCACTGCTTTTTAAAAATGTCTTAGATTTAGGTACTATTTTCTGATGCTAATATATCTGTCTTCCCCTTTTTTATAATATAGTGATGAAATGAATATCTCTTTTTTTCAAAATACAGATTATTAATTTCCAATAAATGCAGATTATTTGTTTCTGTTGAAAATATATGTGGGATTTACTTAAAGAATAATGCAATGCAGGGTAGGAGGAAGTGGGTTGGGAGATAGATGAATAGCCATTATAGTAGTTAAAAATGGATATTCGGAAATTTATTATACTACTCTCTCTACTTTTGTGTATGTTTGAAATTTTACATAAAACCTTTTTAAAAAATCAGGTAAATCTGGCCCAATTTAATTATATTTATCTTTAATATCATGAAAACTACAGTAATAAAACCAAAAGAGCCACATTTAGAATAATTTTCTGTGGAGATATTGTACAATTTAATCTATATACATTTAAAGTAATTACTGATAAGGTAGGATTTATGTCTGCCATGTTGCTATATGTTTTCTGTATGTCTTAGATATTTTTATTCCACTATTCCTCCATTACTGCCTTCTATATTTAATAGTATTTTCTAGTGTACCATTTTAATTCCTTTGTTGTTTCCTTTACTATATATTTTTATTTTCTTAGTGGTTGTCCTAGGGATTATGATTAATATATTAATTTAAGACAATCTAGTTTGGATTAATATCAATTTAACTTCAGTAGTATTCAAAAACTTTGCACCAGTTTAACTCTGTTTTGCCCTTTCTTTCTACCATTATTGTGATACAGATTACATCTTTATGCATTATAAGATCATCTATACAGCTTCATAATTATCACTTGATGTGGCTGTCTTTTATTTTTTATTTTTATTTATTATTTTTTGGGGGGGTGTAAAATATTCCTTTTTTTATAATTTTTCATTTATTAATATATGATGTAGTTGATTTTTGTGTCCCTTTACCAATTCCTCCTTTCCCCCCTTCCCCCTCCTCCCTTTCCCCCTGCCATCAATATCATATCCGTTCACTTAACAAGTTCAAGGAATTATTGTGATTGTTGTGAAAATATTCTAATTTCCTATTATTACACATTTCGAAGTTTCTACTGTTGGGCTGAAATGATCTCCATCTTATGTAAAGTTTTTGGTGGAATACATTACTAAAAGTGAAATTTCTAGGATTTGTATATAGTTCTGTGCATTATATATTTAATTCATATAATTTTCTTGTTTTTCAAATATAGGAGCAATAAATTATCACCTGCAGTGTGTGAGAGTGTCTACTGTCCTACTCTCAATAGCAAGGGTATAATGAGCAAAATATTTATACAGGAAATATATATCCAAAATTTAATTGCCATTTCTTTGATTTGTGGGAATTTGAGCATGGTTTTACTATTTGTTTGCAAAAACTTTGCAGTATTAATGATATTATCTTTCTTGAGGTTATTATAAAGACTAATTTTCTTCATCTGAACTAAACTTTAAAGTGATGGCATAGCCAGCCTCCAAGATGGTCACCAGTGATTCTTGTCTTTTGCTAGTCATACCCTTCTGTAGTGCACTCACACATTGAATTGGGGTTGGTCTGTGTAACCCATAGAGTATGGTGGGAGTATGATATGTGACTTCTGAGAGTCGGTTACCAAAAATACTGCAAATTCCATTTTGGTCACTCAGTCATGCTCTTTTTCCCTATTGAATCATTCCCTCTGGGAGCAGCCAAGTATTATAACATGAACAGCTCTATGGAATAGCCCTTGTGGTAAGGAACTGAGACCTATTACCAACAATGATATGAATGAGCTTAGAAGGTGGTCCTCCAGCCCTAGTCAAAGGTTCGGATGGCTTCAACCTCATGAAAGGCCCTGAGCAAGACTTTACAGTTAAACTGCTCCCCGATTTCTGATTCCAGAAACTGTGTGAGATAATAAATGTTTGCTGTGTCAAAATGCTAAAATCTGGGATTGTTTCTTACACAGCAAGATGTAACTAGTTATTTTAGTCAGGGTTCTCCAGAGATACAGACCAGTAGGATATAGGAGTGTACTTAAAAAAGTTTGTGGAGGGCTGGCCGGTTAGCTCAGTTGGTTAGAGTAGAGCCTTGTAACACCAAGGTCAGGTGTTTGGATCCCCATATTTTTTTGGCCAGTTGCAAAAAAATAAAATATACAAGTTTGAGGAAAAATAAAATTAAAAGATAATAGATGTCCTTCAATGAACTTTTTGAAGTACACTTTCATATATGTAAGTATATAAGAGGCGATTAGGGAAATTGGCTCACATGATTATAAAGGTTGAAAAGTCCCATGACAGGACATCTGCTAACTGGAGACACTGGGATGCATGTCTCAGTCCATGTCCAAATGCTTCAGAATCAAGGAAGCCAGCATGTGACTCTCAGTTCAAGGCCAAAGGCCTAAGAGCCCAGGGAGGCCATTCGTGTAAGTCCTGGAGTCCAAAGAAGAGAGAAACTCAAGTTGTTGTCCAAGAACAGGAGAGATGTTCTTCCCAGCTCTAGCAGATAGAAAAGAGTTATAAGCAGTAATACTTATACTGTCTTTTATATTTACTCATATAATTAACTTTACTAGTGCTCTTTATTTCTTCGAATGGATTCAAGTTAGAGTCTAATGTTCTTTTTTTTTCTTTTTGGCAGCTGGCTGGTATGGAGTCTAGTGTTTTTTTGAGTCATCTTGAAGGACTTCCTTTAGTATTACTTGTAGTATGGAGGCTAGAAGTCCAGGATCAAGGTGCCAACAGAGTTGTTTCTTTTGAGGCCTCTCTCCTTGGCATGCAGATGGCTTCCTTCTTGGTGGCTTTTCACATGATCATCCCTCTGAGCACACATATTCCTGGTGGCCTCTCTTTCACTTTTGGAGGATAGTTTTGCTAGACATAGAATTTTTGGTTGATATTCTTTTTCTTTTAGCATTTTGAATATGTCATCTCACTGCCTCTTGACTGTGGTTTCTGATGAGAAGTCAACTGTTAATCTTACTGATCCTTTTCATATGATGTCATTTCTCTCGTTGCTTTCAAGATTCTCCCTTTGTCTTAGGCTTTTGACAGTTTGACTATATGTCTAAGTATGGATATCTCTGAGTTTATCCTACTTGGAGTTTGTTAAGCTTCCTGGATGATTAGATTAATTTTCATTAGGTTTGGGGCATTTTTGGCCATTAGTTCTTTTATATAATTAAATAGTGTGCATTACCTTTCTCCCCTCTCCTGCTATGACTACAGTGTATGTTGGTGTGCTTGATAGTGTCGTATGGGTCTCTGAGACTCTGCTAATTTTTCTTTCTTTTTTCTGTTCTTCAGACTGGATAATCTCAATTAGCCTGTCTTTAAGTTTGCTGATTCTTTCTTCTGCCAACCACAATATGGTGCTGAGCCCCTTTATTGTACTTCACATTTCAGTTATTGTATTTTTTATCTTCAGAATTTCTATTTGGTTCCTTTTTTAGGAGTAATTTCTATCTCTTTATTTGTAATTCTCTATTTGGCAAGACTTTATTCTTGTACTTTCCTGTAATTTTTTAAATGGGTTTCTTTTAGTAATAGCTGATTTATAGTCTTTGTCTACTAAGTCTCGTATCTGGGATTTCTTAAGGACAGCTTCTATTGACTGTGCTTTTTCCTGTGTTTGGGCTAAACTTTCTTGTTTCTTCATGTGTGACATAGTTTTTTGTTGAAAACTGAATATCTTAAGTAATGCAAGGTGGAAATTCTGGAAATCAAATTTTTCCACCTCCTGGGGTTTATTGTTGTTGTTGTTGTTACTGTTTGTTTAGTGATGTTTCTGGACTAATTCTGTAAAGTCTATATTCTTTGTCATGTGCAGCCACTGAGGTCTCTACTTTGTTAGCTTAGTTTACTAATTATTGGCAAGAGAATTCCTTAACTATCTTAAACTGATAAGTCTCCCTCTCTTTGCCAAGGGGCTGTGTGTATGTGTATGTGTATATGTGTGTATGTATGTATGTATGTATGTATGTATGTATGTATGTATGTGTTGGGACATGCTGCCTCCAGTGCCGTGGCTGTTTATAAGTCTGTTTTAGTCTTCACTACTTGCTTGTGTACAGTCTCAATATCAGCCAGACATGTAAAATTAGGACCTTTTCAGGTCTTTCCTGGGGATGCACACAACATATATGTGTGTGACCACAACTCTTACATATGTGCATGACCTTCTAGATCCCCAGGAATATGTTGGAGCTTCTCAAGGCTCCACCATGGACATCTTATTCCTTAGATTTTCAATGTTTGTTGGCCAAACATTGTTTACCTCAGCTGATATCACTGCCTCAGGCAGCTGAGATGTTAAACAATTGCCACTGTTTTTGAAAAATGCCCTGGGGATAGGCTTTCTCACTGAGCCCGCTCTGAGTCAAGTGAATGGAAGTTTTTGGGGGGGCTCCAAACCCGTTCTGCCCATTTTAGTGGTTGTGAGGCTGTTGGTTTTCAAGACTATTACAGAGTTAGGAAAAGGGTCTTGAGAAGGGGGCAAGTTTTTAAAAAAAAAAATGCCAGAAAAGTTGCTGTTCTTAATCAAAGTCAGCCATTTTTCTTGAATAAATTCTTCTTGGATTGTTGCAAGCCTTTCTTTAATTTCCAGAGTTCTGAAAAAATTGATATTGATGGTTTTTTCTAGTCTTCTCATTGCTCTTATGAAGGAACTGATTTTCAGAGGTTCTTACTCAGCCAGTCTGAAGTGCTTCTGAATGTTAGCTTCTTGAAAGAAAAACCTTTTTCTGCTCTTTTCCCACGATGCCTAAACCTTTTTGGTCAGATTCATTTTGTCTTTGTTTCATATGTTTAATTACATAACTGATTAATTCCATGGTACAATTTTAGTAGGATACCATTTAGTAATTTATAACTAAGAATGTATCAAAGATTTATGTAATCAAATGTTTATTGAACTTATGACAATCTAGGAAAAATTTTTTTTTCCATAATCTTCTATAGCATTGAAACTCTATCTTGTCAAAGATTTCCCTCCTATGAAGAACTAGGAACAGCTAAAGTGACTGTGCAGAAGCCTGATGATGTTCTTCATGATCTTGGTCAAAAGAAAAAAGAAAGAAATGGCATGCTCCAGGTAAAGTGGAAATGGTGTTAAAATTGATGTGAATCGATTGTGTAAAGGTGAAAATTTTGAAGGAATAAAGAAGTTATGAAGACAGAAATCAAGAGAAAGGATGAAGATAAAGCATTGAAAATACCAAGTCTGTTGCCTTTACATGACTTTTCCAAAAGCCCCCATGAAGTGATTTCTATTATGGCTCCTTGGCCAGGACTGAGCCACCTGGCCATCTCTGGCTTTCCAGCTTCTTTTGGAGAGGAAGGAAGGGGGATAAAGAGGTGTGAATAGGCCTTTTTCATCCAGTCTGCCATGCCTACCTAGAGCCAGCTTGCTCTTATTTTGTTTTACCTTCCTTCACAAGATAGAGCTGTTATTGGCCACTGGACTGCCCAGCACTGCTATGGATTTTATTTAATGTTATTTTATTTAACACTCTATTTTATTTAACACTCACATTAGTACTTCTAAATGAAAAAAAAACCTTTAATTGCCAAGTGTTCTTTGTAACTCTTCAGTTTGACACATTGAATCCTTAGAAAATTTTGGCATAGTATATGGCCCAAACAATAGTAACAGCTCTTATTTGTACTAAAATAATCAATGTAAGTTTTACATGGCTACTTTTTTGCCTTTTTTTTTCTTTTAAGCCAAAAGAATCTCTTATTACATTGAGGCTTGCTGATCTTCCACAGAATTCTGTTAAGCTTCAAACAACCAATACGAGATCCATATTGAAAGATGCTGAGAAGATTTTGAGAGGAGTACAAAACAATAAAAAACTACTTGAAGAAAACCTGGAAGCTATTATTCGTGCAAAGGATGGAGCTACCATGTATTCATTCATCAGTGCTCTATCTACCAACAGGTAAGACAGGGTATTGCTATTCAGGGTTATTTATGAAGTTGCCAGTTCTACTTTCATGATTTGTTTTTTTCTAAGCACTTCACTCTGTTTAATGTGTTTTAATATTTAAAAAGGTTCTTTATTGCCTTTTAAGATGTGGAATTTATTATTAAGTTGGAATTTGGATAAAAAAGTATATGTGATGGTACTACTTTTTACTGATGGAAATTTTTCTTTTAATTTTTTTCTGTCTTTGGTATACATCTTCTGGGGTCCACATGTGCTTTTCAAACAGTTATCCTTCAAACATTTGTTGAAAACTAGTACTGTTGCTTTTCCTTTCCAGATGAATGATGTTGGGCTACACAATAGATTCAAAAGTAGTTAAGAGTCCAGTTCTCAGGATATTAAGTGCTAATTTAAGAATTTTTGTTTTCTTTTGTAGAGAGATCTCAGAGAAGATTAGGATCAGAAAGACAGTGGATGAGTGGATTAAAACTATTTCTGCAGAAATTCAGGTATGTCTTGGAAAAAACTGAAAAGTAAATTTTCAGGAGATATCATCAATTCCAATTAATAAGTATCACACGTTCTGAAAATATGCCTCATATAATACTCCAATTATAATTATTAATTTCACTCTTTCACTCTTTCTGTTTACTTAGTAATAAGTTTGGTTTTATTTAACAATTGCTTTATCTCATAGGTTTATATTATGGCTCTTACCTGGCAAATTGTTGGACAATAACTAAAATATGAGTAATTTGAAAGAATATTTAGCAAAAGCATTTAGAGAAGAAAAGAATTACACTTGCAAAGATGTTTCAGGACAGCATTTTTAGAAGCATTAGCTCACCAAAGTAAGAACACTGAAGTTATGTAAAAGGAAAACCCTGCTGCTAGATGATTTCCAAGCTTACTAAGTTCATGGAATGCAGTTCCAAGTGGAAAAGTAGCCTCTTTCTCACATCCACAAAAGTCATGATATGTCTTCAGACATCAGCATCAGCAAAACTCTGGGAGTTATTTTTATTAAGGGGTCAGTAATTTAAAGCAAATTCTTCAAGTTTTATATATCTGAGGTAGCAAAACTAGATAGGGTGACTTCTTGTTTTATCTTGGGTGCAAAGCATTTTTTTTTTTCCTGACTGTAAGATTTGCTTATATGCTTATTCACAGTAGTAGCAAGGTGAAGTATCAGTTCTGTTTCCATAGCAATAAACACAGAAATATATTTTTAAACTTTGTTCTTTAAGAGATATGCCTCTTCAGCTCACAGTAGTAGCAAGGTGAAGTATCAGTTCTGTTTCCATAGCAATAAACACAGAAATATATATATATATATATATCTTTAAGAGATATGCCTCTTCAGCAAATGGTGCTGGGAAATCTGGATATTCCTATGTAGGAGAATGAAACTAGGCCCATACCTTTCACCATATACCAAAATCAACTCAAAATGGATTAAAGAATTAAATATACA